TGTGTTCTAATATTCTTGCTTGTAATTGCGGTAAACAGAAGACAATTTGTTTTCAGCCCTCTTGAAACAACTCTTTGTGCAAGCAACACTATGAGAAATGGGGCATTCTGGTCCTCAGTGTGGCTGGGGGTGGAAATTAGCCGTTTATCATTCATTTTATCTATGGACACAAAGTGCAGGTATGACCTGCAAAAAAGGCCTCGAAGAGGAACATTCTCCAAAGGACTTCCTCAGCAGCTTGCATTTCCCAGCACCTAACAGCCCTTCTGTTCACAAACATCTGTGGTATCTCCAGAATCCAAGGTAGGCAGTACCGGTAGGGACATATTAGGTTATTCCTGCATCCTTCCAGATACTGGTAGAAGAGTTCCAAACAAATCTGAAATCACTTATGCTCTCTTCTGAATCCTTTTGCTCCTACATATTTTTCTAGTCCGTTTTGTGAAGAATTAGATGAAGTTTCTGGTGTTTGTAGGAAGGAAAAGCACAGCTAGAGCATGTGGCTCAGGGTCTGTCTCTTAATAGCCTGTTTTGCCTCTTTTCTACACCACAAATCAGCTTCTTGCATATATATATATATATATATATATATATATATATATAATATATATCTATACACACATAAACACACACACACACTGCAAGCTCCATATCTTTAAAATAGTTTGGGGAGGAGCATCAAAGCAGTAGTTGGTCATGCCAAGAAATGCAGTTTGTGAGTTTGGTAACACGCAAGTTGAAATAGTTTATACTAGTTTTAGAAAAAGTCTTGCCTTTTCTATCAAAACTTCCAAGAAAGTTTTTTAAGTGATAACTGCGGGGGAGTTACTTTTCGAGGGGAAAAAAATTAATGTGGTTTGGAAAATACAGTTTTAAACAAGGAACTGGCAATCAATGTAGCATAATCATAGGGACAAAAAAAAGGGAATCTGGTATCGAGAATTTTCCTATGAAAATGCAGGTGCTACATCCTGCTGTTCTGTGTCAGCAGCTTGGCACCCATCTCCTAGCTCAGAACGTAACAGTTTGTACAGGCATGTAAATAAGCAATGAGAGTATTCGTGCCCTCAGGTTCCTCATGCTTTGGGGAAGTTCCAAAGGACTGAAGATTTCCGAAGCTTTGAGTGTAATTAGTTTGAATTTGGTGACATCTGCTGGTCAGCCTGTTCCGTGCAGGAGCCCCAGCACCAGGAATACAGCTACAAAATGCATATAGAAGGCGGTTGGGTAGAAATCATTCCTAAATGACTTTGGATAGAAGCTAGAGATTAAACCTTAACTTCAGGCAAAAACTTGATGAGACAGGTCTTTGAAGTTTAAGACATCTTTTGGCTCATGTTTCTTACATAAGTAGCAATGTTCTTTGGCAAAATTACTCATCTGAATGTCTTTTAATCTTGATGATGACAAAATTAATTGTATTTTATATTCCTGTGTTTAAATTACTCTTAAAAAAACTACTTTGAGGTAGAATTTACATAATGTTAGACATCTGAGCACTTAAATTCTTGGCATCATGAGGCACTGAAGAGTTGTTCTGAACATTAAATACTTCATCTAGCAGCAGCAAAGTGTGTGATGTAATAGTTTGTATCTTACTAAGCAGCCAACTTCTTGCAGTAATTTTTTTTGAGCAATAGGAGCACTTGAGATGACCATGATTACAGCCTCTTAAATAGGTTCTGGTATGAAACAAACAAACAAACCTCAATTTACCTCTTAAATACCAAATAATAAATGCTATTAAAACTATCACAAACTAGATAGCATTTGAGTTCACTTTAGCACTTCAGTTTGCCAAATATTAAAGATCAGTGAGCTTAGAGTCTGTAGCAAGTCTTGTAGCAGTCAACCCCCAGATCCACTCCCCCAGGATTTCCACTCCTGTAGCTTAAATGCAGGATAGTCATTGCTATCTCCCATCTGTACCTCATTCCTTAGCATATATTTACTAGGGAAGCAATTAATCCAGTCTCTCAGGTTTATGACATGCATGGCCACGCAAAAATTGTTTTTAATGTAGTCTTACTTCCACATAACTCAAAGTTATTTTGTACAAAAATGACAGTAATTATTGTCTGTAGGATTAGATCTCTGGACATATATGGGACGATGAAAAAAAGGTAAAAGTGTCTAACCCTTGTTTGAGTGAGTGCTTCACTTTTTATCAGCCACGTCATATTAGCTCCCTCGGTGTACCACCTGAATCCAACTGGTTCCTGTAGTGGAAGGCCGATGTGCACTTAAATTCCGACCTTGCAAGCTTTTTGGCATGGCCAGAGTTTTGCAATTGAAGGCCAGTAGCGAGCCTTCAGGATACCCCAAGAGCACAGAAAAAAGAACAGTCTATTCTATGGGAACAGGGCTTTCCTACAGGACAAATAAGGGAACATGTTCCAGGTGTGGGCTCCCAAGCTGTCTGTTTCGGGCCTCAGTGATTCTGCTGTGCTTTGATTTATGTTGCGCTAGCATTCATACTCATTTTTCCAAGTAAATGCCAGCCACACCCTAACCGTGGGGATGCTGCTGAGAATGTGCCTTTTGGAAATTAAATGGGATACAAAGGAATTCAACATTTGTTATTCTAACATTACAAAGCTTCTTCCAAGATTAATTTTCTCCTGTATATAATAAGAATAATTACCTAATAATTTAAAATAATTTTCGCATGTTTCTAAGCCCTTTTCACTACTTTGAACTTGCCCTGTTACCTTTTTCTTTTTTTTGGTCCTTTCTTTGTTTTATTCTCCTTGGTCTGTTTATAGGTACTAGCTCTTCAGAAGGTATAGCTTCTGTTTGTGGCACTTCTGCTACTAGTGTATGAGAGTAACTAAAAAGAACTTCAGCAGTGTTAGTAACGCTAGAATTAGTATAGAAGCAACCTGTAATGAACGTATGTCTACGTAAGGCATGTGATGCTTATGCAGTCAAGAGACATTGCAATTAAAAGACTCGGCTTTACTTGGAAAAGCATTTTGGAAAAACAAACACAGACCTCTGTAAAGAGTGTTGTAGCATTATTAAAAGAGAAAGCTGCTTGCTTGCTTTCCTTTTGGCTAAAACAATCACTGTACTTTTACTCCCTTCTCTTTTGTTATCACAGAAGTGGTATTAAGAAGCTTGTGCAATAACACAAACTGTTATTAACTAGCTTGAACCACAAGGATAGATTTATATTTAATCTGAATAGTGTATAAACATTCTCCTATTCCACCCTGAATAGAAAGTCAATATTTTTCAAACTTAAGACCAACTTGGGCCTCTCAGTTTAATAGGTTGTATGAAAAAACTGGCTGCTCCGCCTTTTCCCCATCTGGTGCTTCAGTTCTGGTTTTTATTTTTCAGTTCCAGTAAACCTCTGATGTGATTTTGTTTGGTTATGGAAGGAGATGAAAGTAGACCAGAACACATTTTTCTTTCTCTACGTAGTTGTTCCATCAAATGTTTCTCAGGTATATATATATACACCTTAAAGATTGTTTCCATTTTCAAATCCTCAGGAAAATTCTCCTTCCTTACATAAATGAGTAAAAATAAACTCCCTCCTATAAAGAGCAGAATTGCAGCCAGGACAAAAAGAAACTTTCTAATAGTGCTTTTGGCATAAGCTTACCTACAGTGACCAACTTTAGTAAAACCACACATAAGCCGTGACATATTATTAATACTGCTCTACACAGCTGAAATCATTTTTTAAAAGGCATTTAAGCTCAGGAGTTTATAAGAAAAATTCCCCCTAAGCTTTTCAGTAGTAATGTTACGTGTGCAGAGGCTCGCTTGTACCAGCACCAGAAGAGTCCCACATGTCAGTGAGACTAAACGCCCTTCAAGGGCAGCTCTTGGGGTGTTTTGCAAAGGTAATTGGTGTTTGTCTACGGCCACCCGCCCTCTGCTTCAAGTCTTGCATGGCTGAGCAGGGACTGCCTTTCACTTTGCCAGCGTCTCTCAAATAAGTTTCAAGATTAAGGCTTTCTTTTGAAGGCCCTTGAAAAAACTCACAATGAATTCATACCCAAGCATTGCTTATTTAGAGGAACCGGACCTTTGTCCAGGAACTGTGGTAAAAGGTCTGCATGAGACAAAAACCAGTAACCAGAGTAGGCAAGCAAGCCCTGTCCAGAAATGCCCCCGAAATGACTGGCAGAAATTAATAATTCAAGCAGGCCAAAAGGGAAGGATAGATTTTGATACTGTCACTCCCACTTTATGGGTAAGAAAACCAACCTAAGACTGCTTCCATGGGAAGGGCTGCACCCCACATAAAGGAATAAATAAATGCCAGATGGGTGACATCAACCAAGTACCATGCTTCCCACAGGTTAGTGGTTTGAGCATCAAGGAGTGCTAATGCCAAGGTGAAGAGCTGCACGGAAATAACTGCAGTATTATTTTTCTGATACCTAGTAATGCCAAACCAAAATAAGTTGTAAATCAATACAATTGCACTGTTTTTTTTTTTATTTTAGACTGGATGACCCTCTGTAGTCTTTCACTGCTGATGCCTGAGGCTGCTAGGGGTAACAACAGGCTGCAGAGGAATCAGCAACTGCTAAGTCTGTACCACACAACCAGTATCACGTTCTGATACTTCTGGTGGGAATGCTGTACTGCCTGTAAATACGTGGTGTTCTTTTTCTGTTTTTTTTTTTTTTTCTTTTGTTTTTATGGCCCAGTAAGCAGACATGCACACAGCAAAGGCAAGGCTACAAGTAATGAGCCTGTCTTGGTCATTAAGAGGGGCCACACCCATCTTAAATATTGTAAACACCAAAACTAACAACACTATGTGGTTCCTATTATTGTACCCTTTGTTGTACCTGTAATGCTGTAAAACAAACGGGTAAGAGTTGCCAACAACAGACAAGTTTTTCATGTCTAAAATGTCTAAAAGTGCTTTTTTAGATTTCCCTTGATGCTGTAGTTCAGCAGTACTGTGTACTAATCTAGTATGCAGAGCATGGATGTGCCCTCCCTCACACTTGTATCCCCCGTAACCCTACCTTTGCTTCTGCACCAGCACTGACTTCTCGGCATCTGGGCAGGCAGCAGCTCAGGAACCTGGTCAGGACAAAAACAGAATTAGTGACTTTAATAGCCTCATGTATCAGCTGTAGCAGCCTCAGGCTTCAAAGTGAGCCGGCTGAGTCAGCTGATTGAGCAGGAAGCTGATTGTGCCCCCTTGCCCCCCAGTTTTTCCATTGGGTGAATTTTTCCAACCAGATGAAACGATATATTCTCTGTCCTCATGGGGTATGATGCAAGCTGCAGAGGGGACGCTGGAAGGGGAGAGCAGGAGCGGTGACCTTGGGCAGGTCAGAGGGTAGCACAGCACAAGAGAACCACTAGATCGAACATATAATGATAAAACTCATCCTTCCATCAGCCTAAGCTGCCTGTGACACATCACCCTGTAGTTCTAGAAACACTTGAAGCCAGCACTGCTAACAAAAGAAATGATCCTGCCCTCTCCCTGTCCCTGGGCACTGCATCTGACCTCTATGCCACCTTCCTTCTTGGCACTCATGTACTTTTAGCCATGCAATGAACTGGAAAGTAAAACCATTAATTTTAAAACAAAACTGGATTTTTTTTGCTGAGTAAGTTTTGATATGGATCAGTTCTCCCATTTACTTTACTAGACTAAAAGAAAAAGTGCTTTATGTGTTAAATGCTATGGTGTGCAAAGGAAAAAAAGAGGTAAATGAGATGCCAAGATGAAGGGGAGTGTTGATATATGGTCATCTACATGTCACGGGGAAAATGATGCCTGAGGCATGTGGCTGAACCATGCAGGTACAGAGCAACTCCCATCTCGTTGATTTGACTTTGAACGGGGATAAGAGGATGGCATCTTGTACGTAAACTCTTCTACTCAGTCCAACTAGACTTAATACCAGATAAGTGAAGTGAGTTTACTTAACATTTTGGGTTTACAGCAACAGTTCTATCAAAAAAAAAATTTCAAAAATTAGACATGATTTTCTAATTATTAGTAATTACACCATTACCTGTTCTACTGTGAAGTGTTTTGATTAGGCAGACCTGCATCCAGCAGTGTCTTGCTGTCAAGATTTGCAGTAATTATTGCCCGCTTTGCAACTAATCCACCATTTGCCTTGATGGAGTTCACATACCAGTTCACATATACGTCTACTGCCTGCTTTTCTATTATAAACTGCAAACAAACGAAGATTAATTGCCAGAAAGTGCAAACTGAGGAAGAAGGGTGCCTTTCCTCAGTGGAGGTGGTGGGAATAGGCTTGATTCCTTCCATGTTTCAAGGGAGAGATGTTTATGGCTCTGCACCCATCAGGTTCTGCTAGCAGGAGCCTATTTTTCCTCTGATCATGTGGATAACTTGGGGTGGGGGGTAAAAAGAACTGACGAAAAGAGTTTTAATGACTCCCAGCTTGTCACTAAAACCTGATGTGTTGGGTCTGTCTGAGCTGGAGTCACCTCTTCCCTGCAGCAGCCCACACAGTGCTGTGTGGTACAGTTCTATAATATGCACTTTCTAAAAAGAAGTATCAGGCAACAACCTTAAAATTATAATAAAATGATTGTAAAGATGTTCAGAAACTAAAGACAGCTAACAAGCAAACCTTAAAATCTGTGGGTTTATCTGCAGGAGTAACAAAATTTGGGTTTATGTTACACACCCAGCTCCACGGAGAATTTAGAAAGCCTGGAAGGTTGATTTAGGAAGATCTGATTGGGCGTTCAACATACAAACTACGCAATGTATCTGCAGATTTCCAGGCTGAGGTGCACAACTCCTCATAACGCTGGGATTTAACACTCAGGGGATACTGAACTGCCTGAAATACCTCAGGTTTTGATACCTTGGATACTGGACTCCCTGAAATACCTCAGGTTTTGATAGTTTGGATACTGGACTGACTGAAATACCTCAGGTTTTGATAGTTTGGATACTGGACTGACTGAAATACCTCAGGTTTTGATAGTTTGGATACTGGACTGACTGAAATACCTCAGGTTTTGACAGATTTCCCTCCGGTAACGCAGCTTGCCTGCTCTCTCCGTGCACCTGCATCGATCTCGACTTGCTGTAAGCCGATACCGTCGCGGTGGGCGGGGCAGGCCCCTTATCGCCTCGCTCCCCTGGCAATTACCCGATTTCTGCCCCTATCTCTCGGCCTGCTGCGCGATAAGCTCCCCACACCACACGCTCAGGGGACCCATCTGCACGGAGATCTCCTTCCCGGGGCCGGGAGGCTCCTCTCACGCTCCCCGCACTCGGTCGAGGGTCTCCGGGCGCCTCACGGCCGCGCTCCCCTCAGCGCCCCCTCAGGGTCCCCGCAGCCACCTCCCCTCAGCCCGCTCCCGCCTCGCCGCTTCACCGCCCCCTCCGCCAATGGGAGCGCGGCTTGGTGGCCGAGCCCGGCGCCCTCCAATAGGCGGCGCGCTTGTTGGCCTGCGGCCCGCCGAAGCCGCACCCTGGCAGGGCTGGGGGCTGAGGCGCAGCGCGGCGCCGGGGCCAGCGGCGGAGGCGGCGGCGGGCTCATTGGAGGGGGGCTGCCGGTCAGCGGGGCCTCCTGCCCCTTCCCTGCCTCCTCCTGCCGCCCTTTCCCTTTCTCATTCTCGTCTGGTCCTCGGGTGAGCGGCGGCGTGAGGCGTTGCGGAGGAGGCGCAGCCGTTGGGGGTGGGGGGGAGGTGTGAGGGGGGCGCAGCCGTTAACGGGCGGCGGGCAGCGGCTGAGGGGAGCCGGGGGAGGAGGGGCAGGGGCTGAGGGGGTTTTGGGGGAATTGGGGGTAAAAGGGAGATTTAGGGGGGAACTAGGGGGTGAGAGGGACAAGGGCTGAAGGCTTTGAGGGGGGTGGGCTGAGGGGAGGTTTAGGGGGAAGGGGCTGAGGGGACGTGTTGCTTTTTTTTGGGGGGTGGGCGAGGGCTGAGGGGAGGTTTGGGGGGGAGAGGGGCTGAGGGGAGATTTTTTTTTTTTTTTTTTGAGGGGGTTGGGGGCTGAGGGGAGGTTTGGAGGCGGAGAGGGCCTGCGGGGAGCTGCAGGTTGTTTTTTTTGGGGGGGGTGTGATGGGTAACAGGGGTTATGGGGAGCTGTGGGGTTTTTGGGGGGTGACAGGGGCTGAGGGGAGGTTTGGGGGGCGACAAGGGGCTGAGGGGAGCTGTGGGGTTTTTGGGGGGTGACAGGGGCTGAGGGGAGGTTTGGGGGGCGACAAGGGGCTGAGGGGAGCTGCAAGCTTTGGGGGGGAAGGAGGAGAGGCTGGGCTGGCTGGCTTAGCCCTTGGGGGGGAAAGGAAGAAATTTGGGGGGGTGACAGCCAGTGGGGTGCGGGTCCCTGGGGTGGCTGCACCCGCCGTGCCGCTGCCCGCTTGTCCCCTGCCGCCCTTGGGCTTGGCCTGCGGAGGGCAGGGGCTGCGGGCGGCTGGGCAGCGCTGGCAGGGACCTGCAGGAGAAGGGCGGTTTGGTTTTGGTGGCTGTGCTGGAGAGGGTGGCTGCTCTTTGGCGTTGTCAGCGTCTGCTGGTACGGAGCAGCACGCATCTTCATGTGAGGAATTGCTGGCTGATCTCTGCGGCGTTTGTAAGGTTAATTCTCGATCTGTGCTTGGGTTCGAGTGAAGCTAGTGGTTAGGGAGGGGGATGCATCCATGCTGGAAAAATATTCCTGGTTGTATTGAGCTAGGGGGCTGTGAGCAGCACTCGGCTTAAATCTTCCATGAGGTACTGCTGTAGTGCAACGGTGTGAGCTGGTTGCTGCTGCTGTTGTTTTCCTCCCTGCTTTTTGGAAAGTTGCTATTGATCACTACTGTTACGTAGCAAAGTATTTGAGAGGGGAATGTTTTTGTGCACAGAAGCATACATCTTTATGCGAAGCTTTACAAAATGTTTGTACTTTAATATATGTTCTTGAATTCTCACATTGCCACTACTGCTGGATGATTTCTGTATGCCTCGCTGAGAGCTACAGGCATCTCCATGCATGGGGGCTATTTACATCTCTGGGGTTTGTAATGGGACTGAATGTGCTGACAGAATACTCAGCAGTTCTTAGCTGTCATAAATCTGTTCTTTCAGAATAAAGAGTTCGTTAATAAAATTAAGAAATGTAAACTTGATTTTTAAAATGTTTCCATTTTCTTTATTAATTCATTTAACAATTGCATGCCTCTGTAAGAAAACCCTATTTTGGAGTTCTTGCATAATAAGAAACAGGAACAGAACGCAACTATTGACTGCCTTCTTAATGCTGGAGCAGGTGGCTTTATATTCAGCGAGCAGATTTGATGTGATCGTTTAAAAATAGTCTGAAGTGAACATAATGTTTTATGTAGCTTGCCGCAATTACAGAATCTAAAGTTGGTGGTTTTCTTAGCGGAGTTTTCAGGAAGAGACAACTGAAAGTTTTTACATCTTCACTGCAGCAAGATAAGCATATGTGCTTACATGTGCTTGCATGTATAAGCATTCGTTCGTAGTTTAACATGATTTCTGTTTTCTCCATGAGGCTCCGTGCTGGGTATAGTTCTTCTAAGCCAAAACCAGTCGTGTTGCCTGAATGTTTTCTTTTATGGTCAGTTAATAAAAATGGCATGAGAAATCTGAACATTCATGCTTCATCTGAAACGAGGACTTTTGCTAGCGTGTTGTGACAATAAGTTCATTAGAGTATGGTTCACTAATGCCGTGGAGTGAGGAATGCTGTTTACTGAATCAGTGCTTTTCTGTGATAGCTCTTTTTAAATGTCTCCAGCAGAAAATGACTCAACTCTGTTCTCCTTCTGTGAGATTCGCCATTGGTATCGAATGATGTTTTACGTGTACAGAATCAGACCATTTTGGGAGAGTATGACTTCTACAGGACTAGGGATAAAGCTGCTCCAGCCCCATTCAAGGCTGTTTTCAAAGAGTAGTTTCACAGTATGAAGTGCTTTTAATAAATCTCTCCCAACATTCTGTTTTCAAATGAAAACATTTAAATCTTGATGTGACTAGCTTTGTTAATAAATAAAATGAAAATATTAAAACTGGAGGCTTCAAACCAGGAGAAGCATGTTCAGCATGCTGGTTGCCAGTAAGCATGTAACTTCTGTGCGACAAGTGCTTTCTAAATAAGAAGGCATTAGGCAGTAAGTCTTGTACTCACTGCTTTCCTGGGTTGTAGAAATAGTTTTCTTGATTATTTGAGAACTGTAACAATGGTGAAGAGCAGGTCATTTGTAAATCCACAACAGTTTCTATGTGAATGATCGACTCCTGCTTTGAGGGGGAAAAATCATATTAAGAAAACTTCCCCATCCCTTAATAAGAGAGAGCGTATGGGATAAGTATCACCTCTGTGTCCTGGTGTTTTGTGTGTCCCCACTGCACAACAAATTGAAAAATAATGCCCAACTTCTGATTTTGATGGCTTTTAATTTAGACCTTACCCTTGTACCATGCTGTGTGGCAGACAGCAATCGCTGAAACACCACTGCAGTAGAGATTCATGCTGTAATTAAATTTTTTTAGAGTTATTGGTGCTTTATATTTAAAACCTGATTGGGGAGATGCAGGTTTAAACTGCACATTCCACTTTGCAGGTCACTTGACATCTGCAGAAGAACCTGATTGAAATTCTTCTGTTAAGTTATTGACCTCCTATATTAAACGATGCAAAAGCGCTATCTATATATTGAATAGTTGTCCTTAAATGACCTGAGGCTTGCAGTAGTCATTCATATAACCTAATAAGCCTTCCCAGGAGAATAAGAAAACATTACCTAGTCTTGCCACTTCTTTAATGTTTCTCTTCAAAACCACTCCTTTTTTGATCGAGCTGAGAAGAGCAGCTGTACAAACCTGTTGGCAAAGAGCTGCCAAGTGTAAATCTTGTAAACTAGTGCATTTCTTGAGGAAAGTGTCTCATTAGAGGTAGTGATGCTTAAGAAGAATAGATTATAGAGGTATTTTAGTTTATGATAATTTTTACTTTTAAATTACCCTTTTTGGATATTTTTTGTGTTGCTTTAAAATATTACACTTATAATAACAGGGTTCATTAGTAATTTAATGGGTTGTTAACCATTTTATGGACCGTTCAGCATAACTGTATGACTACATCTGTTATCTCAATACGTTTCTGCTGTTTATTGAGAATTGTCCTGCTAATCTTTGGTCAGATGGAAGCAAGTAATTGCTTGTTTTCCTTGCGAGTCTGAGGCTGTTGTTTACAGTGGTTTTGTCAGTTCGGAAACTTTGTGGTTAGTGGTTGCAAAAGTTGTAGAAAGTTCTTCCTAATATAATGGTGAAATAAGAGTAAAGACTCTGGGAAAGACCATTTTTAGAGCTACTGGTTTCTTCACATCAGGCGTGAGCTGAGATGGTGTTATTTGTAGTGAGGGCTCTGGTTTACATTGTGACCAACCACCCAGGTCTTCAATAAAAGTCAAACATTGCTACTATTTTGAGGAATTTGAAAATGTATCTGTTCATTGTTTCAGGGCAAACACAGTTTTGGTGTAGAACTGGATTTAAACAGCTGACTGTGTGTATGCTGGCTGGCTCTGCTGGAATGACTTGCTGACCATTAAATAGAAACTGAAAATGTTGTCCTTGAAGGTGTTGCTAAACGGGAGCAATGAGTACTTGAACACCTTCCCAACTTCCTCCTTTCAACCTGTTTATTAGATTGCATTTTAAGAAATGATCTCTGCTGCACTGTTGGATGCGGTTATTATTTGATGCAGAACCAACCTTTCAACCTCTGATCAGGTGTTAGCAAGCAGGACATCAAAGAGTCTTTCACTCTGGGTTATTTCAGTAGCTTTCCCTTCAGATTAATTAAAAATCAAAATACATGAAGGAGAGCACATTTCAGGTTAATTTTAAAACTGGGATGTTAAGAGCTGCTCTTTAAAACTGAGATCTGTAGTTTCCATCCTCTTCAGACTGGTGAAATGCAAAGCAGTATTATAAAAACAATGCATTATTGAATTTAACTTTTTTAATTAGTGATTTTTATACCATGTGTTGTGTATGTTTTTCTGGTCTTGAGCCATGAGATCTGAAAAGATAGGGAATAAAATACTGCAGCATTTTGAGACTCTTTCCTCCATGTACCAAACTGAACTGCTGGAGAGAGGTCATGGAAGTAGTGGGTAGTAAATATGGTTAATCAGTAACACTTTATGGTATTTTTGATACTTTCCCATCAAAGGAGTAGATAAATGTTAAGTCATGGTGCGTATCCATTCACACACTGAAGATAAGGTGAAAAATCAAATGACCTAAGATCTCTTAGGTTTGTGATTGCACTCAGTAAGCATTTGAAAACAACTTTGGAATGAAAACTGTAATTTGACTTAGGGCCTTGGAAAACTGTAGTTTATTTGGGGGTTGTTTGCTTTTTGTACCTAAAACTATCAAATTCTCGTGGTGCTGTTTATGCATTTTATCTCTGTCTTGTTGTAGATCTTGAATCTGCAGAGGTCTGGTAACAATTTTAGCTTTGTTATAGATAGCAAAGTTTTGCCAGATTGAACCAGCAAGTGTCCGGGCAACTCATTAAGATCATCTTCTGTGTTTTTGTTTTTTTCCTGTTAGGTTGTTGTGGTTTTATTTTTTTTATTTAAGGTTCTGTAGTACTGAGCATAAAGTTACTG